GCAGGATGGTTCAAGACTCATGGCAAAAAGAAAAGTTCAAAATGAAGAAAAATACAATGGAGGGGTGCATGTATGTGTGTGGGGGATGTGTGTGTATGTGTGTGTGGTGTGTGTGTATGTGTGTGCTGTGTTTGTGTTGTGTGGTATGTGTGTGGTGTGTGTATGTGTGTGTGCTGTGTATGTGTTTGCATGCATGTGTATTTGTGTATGTGTGTGTGGTGTGTGTGTATGTGTGTGGGGGGGGTGTATGTACAGAGGTGTGGAGGGTGTATGTGTGTGTGGTGTGTGAGGGGGCATGTGTGTGTGGGGAGGGGGGAGTGAATACACAAGTACATATTTCCTGCAGGGAGGGCCTAGGAACATCAAAACCCCAGAAGCAACGAGTTCAGCCAGTGCCCAGCTCCTAGCTGTGACTAGCTCCCTCACAAAAAGGAAACAAAGATCTTTGAAGAAATGGCTGAATTAAGGGTTGGGGCAGAAGAAACAAAGCTAAGCCTGGAGCATCTTTGTTACAGAAATTATGTGGAAAGGATACAAAAAGAGGAGAATTTCAGTAAGGACACAAGGTCAATAGAAAGGAGTTCCCAAAGAGCAGAGCTGGCACAATTTGAGCAACAAAATATGAATCAGTGGTATTGCCCTATAACATAGAGAATAGAATACTCATAAATTCATCCTGGTATGTCAAAATAATTGAGCAAACAAACAATGACATTATAGAAGAATTCCACCTATTAAATGTAGAAGGAATGAGAGAAATCAAAAGCACCATGAGATGAAAACTGTGGTAATATTTGTGGCCGTCAGGATCTATAGTGAAAGTTAGTGGGTGAAAGCTTATTTATTCTGAAGCTCACAGCTCACGGGGGAAAAGCAGACATTAGACATATCATATCAGAACACTGACATGGTAGAGAAACACAGGATGCTGAGGAGTGGAGAGAGGGGGAGAGGAGAGGTCCAAGAGAAGAAACAGTGGGCTGCACCTAGCGAGAGAGAAAAAGTCTAAGTGCAGCCCAGGAGAGAAGGGCCTGTACAGACCCCAGGGCTCTGATACGATGATAGACATGCAGCTGAGGGCTTCCCATCCAGGGCTGGGCCTGTGGGTCTAGGCAACAGGGTTTGTGATTTAGTCCTTTCTAGAAATGTAGATTTCAATCTCCCAGTTCTCTGAACCAAGTCCCCTTGTCTGATACCACTCTCCTAGGATACTCTCCTTCCCTTCAAGGTTTTCGTTTTTTTTATCTACTGCAAACCTTGTAAGCAATTTCATAAATTTCTTCCTAAGCAGTTTAAAAAAAAAACCTAAACTAAACTAAAAAAATGGATCCCCCATATCTTCTGGGCTAGCCATGGACTTGAGATTCCTTATTAGTACATTCGTAGGTGATTTTGAAATGGAGCATTTTTGATTTGTCATTTTCTTTCTAGTCTGGCATGGAACTCAGCCACTTTGAATGCTGTGGAAGTGCCTGTTCTCTGTTGGGTCCACCCATTTAAGATGGCAAAAGTTGCCACTCACATATCCATCAGGAGCTAGTGCTGGAGAGGTTAGCAGAGAAGCAGCTGGACTTAAACAGGTTAGTATTGTTTATTTAAATCTTCACAAATGTTCTCATGTCTCTTCACCAGGAACATATTTTCCAGGTGGTATTTTCCATGGGTACTTTATGCTCTTATTGTGCCTTTTCTCTGTGCTCAGGAGAAAATTCAAGCATTGCTTATGTTGTTCTTTAAGAAAGAATAATAATTAAGTGTGTACAAAATGGGGGCATAGAATTGGTGATATGAGAAAAGCTAGTGTGGTGTTCTTATCAGCAATCTGAAAACATAACCATACCACTGACTAGCGTGCACAGGGGCTTACACTGAAGTTGTGCTGTCAAGAAAAATGTGTCAGTGTGATTTATACAGGGGTCAACACTCAATTGTACTGGACATAAATTGGGTAGGGTCACACATTTAGGGCTTTACTTGAGATTGAAAGGCACGTGTGTATCTGTGGTTGTTTGCCTATTGTGTCTCTTAAACCCTAATGCCTAATTTGGACAGCAATCATCAGTGCCTGCCCACCAGATAAAAATTATACTTCCAAATTGGGTTTCATGTGCATTTGCTTATTGTTGCTATTGTTACTTTGTAATTGGTTACTATGTAGCAAGTTATTTCTTCTCATGCATCTTTGCCCTTCCTCCCATTCTTCTTCCCTTCCTATCTCCCTTCCCCCTTCTTTTTCTCTTTCTCTTCTTTTTTCCCACTCTTCTTCCTTCAGTGTTACCAATTCTAAAGAGTGGTAGCGTTGAAGTCTCATAATTGCAAGAGATTGTGAAAGTGTAGGCTTTAAAGCAAGAAATCTTAAAGCAAGAAAACATAGATTTACTTCTTAGGAAACCTTAAGAGCAAGAATGCCCATCTCTTGAAATGCCATTTCCTAGTCCAAGAAAGAATTTTCAAATTACATTACTTCACCGAGTTAATTATTCCCTGTGCTATCCTGGCAAAAGCACTACATGATTCTTTTTACCCAGTTTGTTTCTATTGTGCGGGAGCCTTCCATTGCTGTGACAATTGTGCGGGAGCCTTCCATTGCTGTGACAATTGTGTTTAAACAGCAGAATGGCAAGGATTCAAATTAGGATTTATTTTGTAACCATGATCCTAGTTTCTTTTTTAATTGCTCTATCCTCTATTAACTGTATTCTAAATAAGTCCTAGCAGGGAAATGCTTTAAAGTTGTGTAACACTTGAGGTGTTAAGCCTTGTAATATCTATGGGGTAGACTATACGTTGAGCAATGTACCATGCTAAAGGAGCAGGTTAACTTCTCTGCTTCCTATGACCTCACAAATTATAGTGGGTGGAAAAGGAACAAAAAAACCTGAGAGCTTTGCAAGAAGGAAATACTCAATAATGAAATATAGAAGAAAGAAACCAGTCTGAAATAGCACTGAGTTCAAAACTAGACTTTGTTGGTAACTACCTCGCTGCCATAACATTCTCTAGAGTTCAAGATTTCATCTCAAATTTGGAAGAAGAGCCAGCTGAACTCTCAGTTCTCCTCTGGCTCTGAAACTTGGGAAGACTTGAAGGGAGAGCCAGGTACACCCGTGCCACATATGCTTGGTTTTCACAAGGCACATCAAGCCACCAAGTAGGATATAAGATATTGAGAGTCAGTACTGTCCTGGAATAATTGACATTATAGTAAGAATAAAACAAAGGTATTATGCAAAAAGCCTCAGAATCTTACAGAGAAGGTGTAAAAAGTCATGATGACTTAGAACTGAGCATGGCAAATTCAAATTCATGAGAAAAATTAATAACCATGGGATACAAAACTGAAACGCAGTAGAGACCAAGCATTGGCAAGATGCAGCCCACAGCTATTTTAGATACCCATGAGGACCAACCCCAATCTAAGGGCAGAAGACTGAAGTCTGAGGGGTCTCCCTGGCATGTTTAGCTATTTTGACATAAAAATCAAGTTTCTCTTTTTGTTTGGCATGTAAGTATATTAGAGAGAAACACACGTGTTCTATGTATTGAACAACTGCTAAATCTTTCAGAACTGTTTTTGAAAGATGCTAGTTTGCTATATTTCTTTCTACAAATGTTTTAAATTTCATTTTTATTTTCATATGTTACTTGTACAAAGGCCTTTTAAAACGTTTTCTGAACTGAGGTCTGGTGACTTAGTATAGGATTGAAATTGTCCCTCCCTATACCTGGGTAATTAACTTTTGCTATTAGGTGGATCCTGTGCTTTTGTGTCCACCCTCCTGCTACAATATCCCCAACTGCACTGCTGAGCCTGTGAGGTGCTCTCTTTGGCTTCCTCCTCTGTGCTGTTCTCCCAACTAGCTTGGACCCGAGAGGATGTTTGACAAAGTCTAGAGGTGTTCTTGGTTGTCATGATTGGGGCATAGAGGGGATATTACACTACACTATGGAGGATGCTTAGTAAATATGAGGCAGCCTCCCAGAACAAAAGCTACCCATCCCCAAATATCAACAGTACAGAAAAGCCTCAGAGCTGAGCAACAAAAGCTGTCACATTTCTTTTGCTAATATCTGTCAGGTGTATTTCCTATGTTTTCCATCAACCCAGCGCATGTAGTCACATTTGCCTCCTCACAACACACATGGAAATAATATGAAAGTTTCACCAGCATGCACTCACCTTTACCACCAAGACACCCTGACAATTCCCATGACATTGGAACTTAGTGATGCCACTGAGAACCCACAGTCTTGATTTTACAGCCCAGTAATTAGTCATGATCCAGAGTTTGGAAAACATTGATGTAGAAGACTTTGGTGTCAAATGAAAGTGTATTTGAACCAGGTTCACCACACTTCATAACTGTACAGGTATCAACAACCTCACCTGTAAACTCAGAACGGTAAGAGTAATGAGGATAAAAATGAGAATATTCTTGTTACGTGGTAGACGCTAAACACAAGTTACTTTCCCTAGAATATAAATTAACGAAAGAACTACTTTTTAGATAGTAAAGTATTATTCAACCCAGCAGTGGAAAACCATTATTCCTGCAGAGAAGGAAATCAGCACGTTCTCCCATGAGGAGAAGTGAGGATCGGGATCCAGTCAGGGTGAGTCTGAGCCACACTGAGAGCTTCTGAACAAAGTAGCACAGGAGCTCAGGAGATGGGGAGGCTCCTCTCCTGCTGCTTCTCTTTGTCAGTGCCGTTTTGGGCTCTGCTCAGCTTCCAGAGCCTTTACCGCTGTAGGATCTGCCCTGCTTTGTTTATGTCCTCCAGCTGAGGACAGCTGGACACATGTGACTTGAGTCACGCAATGTTGGGATGGTGCCACTGACAGGTGAAAATCTGGGCCAAGGAGGATCTTCCTGAGATGCCTACAGCCCTTCCATGAAGTAGACCGATAGTCCTTGTGTACTTTGGATCATTTGCTTCTGTGGGCTCGTTCGTTTGGTCATTCATTCATTCACAGTTAGAGAAACCAAGAGGCTACTAATATGGCGGGGAAGCCTGTGCTTCACTACTTCAGTGGACGAGGCAGAATGCAGAGTATCAGAATGGAGAGGCTCTTGCCTGCAGCCGGAGTAGAGGTAGGTTCCGATTGGGTCATCTTCCGTTGGTTTTAAAATCAACCTTTCCAATACATTTTTATAAGCCACGAGACTTTCAGTGGCTTAACCTGTGACTAGTTTTGCCTGAAATAAAGATGATTTTCAGCTATTAAGAAAGAAGTAGACTGATTTGACCAAATGAAATATTCAGTAATCTGTCCAGTAGGGGGCACAGACACAATTAAAATTATTTTTAAGAGAAAGAAAGGAAACCTCAAATAATCACATAAGGTAGAGCTTATATGGATTTAAATAAACTATGAAATGTAATCTGTGACACTTATGAGGCAGTTAGAAACTTGAATATTGACTGAACGTCGGGTGGTATTAAAGAAGTATTGTAAATTTTTTCTGTCTCTGCTTATGATATTGTTGCTACTTTTAAATAGTATGTGTGTTTCAGAGACTTACACTGAAATGTTCGTAATAAGACCACGTGATACCTACATTTGTTTGATTTTATGGTGAAAGTGAGAGAAGGACAGATAGAAATGAAACAGAATTAGCTTGGGATGGGATTATTGGAAATGGGTGATGATTTTAAGGAGGATCCTGTATTTTATTGTATTTTCACACATAATTGAAATTTACTTAATAAAATGGTAGAAGATATAAGAAAGTAAACAACTAATCAAAGTTCATAAATAAGCAAAGCAACCGAGGGAATGATAGCAGCAAACCGCCCACTCACAATGCAGAGTATTGGATCACAATTGTTTTGTGATTAAATGCCAAGGGTTCTGGGATACATGATGAACAACACAGTGTCCCTGTTCTAGGGTGGCCTACATGTTATGAAGATGCAGACAAACAAATGGATGATAATAAGGTGTGGTAGAAGCAAGCATTTTGCAGCAAAAAGGCCATTCTTCCTAGTTTTTTAATAGGATTCTGTAGGTTTGTGTGACTCAGTGGAGTGCTGACTTCTTTAGCACTTCCTTTCCTAAATTCATGAAAAATACGAAAATTGGAAATGCTGTAGGGCCAGTCTGGGTTGTTTTCTTTCAAGAAATGAATATTCTGTTGTCCATCTGCCAGCTCTGTGTTTTGGGGATTTGAGTTCATGGGGAAGATGAGTTCAGCACAGGATGAAAGTAAGGTGATGCCATCAGTACCCAAGAGTTCCTCTCCTCCTTCCCAGCTTGACTGGAGAAGGTAGTGGGCAAGGGCTGATGTAGACCCTGGCTCGGACCTGGATTCTTTGTGCCCAAAGACTGATCAATACAGTCCCCTCTACCGTCACCAGCCTCACCAGGAATATCATTATGCCCGCTCCATCTCCCTCAGCCACCCTGCTGTGATGACCACTTGGAATTCCTTATGTTTTCATGGATGATATGTAAGTTGATGGTACATACACTTTACACTCTTTAAAATCAAATCCTCTGGGATTATGGAAATCAGCAATAAACCCCGTTTCACCAAGCACCTATTTAAAACCTTTTGTGATTAAAAACTGCCTTTTTATTTATAAAAGGAAAGTAGTGATATAAATTAGAGATAATTATTTGTCAACCTCATACCATATGGTGGGGACACCAAGGATTCTATTCTGTTCTTACTAGAGATCACAGTCTCACTGAAACTCTAAAGCCTCAAAAGTTGGAGAAAATTCCACTGTCCCTCCAGTGACATCTCTCCCAAATCATGACCTAACGGTAGGGATCTGTGGGGTCACTGTGGAGGTGAACTACAAAAATGAGGGGCTGTGTACTGTGATCCGTGCATTCCTTAGTAAGCCAAATCTAAATATTCAAGCAGCCATGATCAGCCTCCTTTGTGTCCACTGCCACCTCAGACATTTTAACTTCTCCATATTTACACTCAAGTTTAAGGCCATAACACTGTGTAATGAGCTTCATGAACTTATTTACTTTTTCTGCTTTCAGTTTGAAGAGAAGTTTAGAGAATCTCCAGAGGACGTGGAAAAGTTAAAAAATGGTAAGACCAAGTTTCTAAATATCCCTCATGAGGTACCTAGTTCAAGGTTTCCACACCAGGCAATGGCAGCATGTTGGTAGGGTGGTAGATGGGTGGGGAGAGCTAAAATGTAAGGGGTGAGGCTCCTTGGCAGTCTGACAACTCTGTCAGTACTAGAAAGAAGTAGACTGCTCTGCGTACTCTCTCAGTTCCCCATGAATGCCCTCTCCTTTCTTTCTCATGCTTCCTATGCCAGAATGAGCTGCAGTCAGCTCAGGATCCCACATCGCCCTCCATCCAAGCACACACAGGATGTGATCACATTAGATGGAAGCATTAGATCACAGGAGGAGGAGTAGATGGGAGTAATTCATCCATGGTTGTGATGAGTTCCTGTCCCACCTACAGTGCAGGCTTGGAGGACCACATAATCAGACATCTACGGAAACCTCTCTTGGAATCCATCTTCAATGCTATGAACACAATGGGACTTGGTTTGGAAACTCCCCGCCTAACTCGATATTTTCTTGGGAACTGTTGTAGTCCCTCCTAGCCTTCCTAAAATATCCATGAAGATGAATTAAACACATAAAAAACTCCATAAAAGATCTAGTATGTATCTGCATTAGGACAAAAAACACAAATAAAATACACTAAAAATCCAAAGGAAGAGAGATGACAAAGGAAGAAACAGAAGACTAAAAATAAAATTTGTTTCACTTGAAAGATTGCCAGGTGACCATTCTTATTTTCCTTGTGTATCTTCAATCATTTTAAGAAACATTTTCTTATCAGGTAAGAGTGGAATCATAGACATTTCTTTTTCCCTTTTTGTTCTTCTTTCAAAAGATGGAGTTTGATGTTCCAGCAGGTGCCCATGGTGGAGATGGATGGGATGAAGCTGGTGCAGACCACAGCCATCCTCAGCTACATTGCCACCAAATATGATCTCTACGGAAAAGACATGAAGGAGCGAGCCCTGTACGGTGTATTTTCTGTTTTTACATCAACAGATAACAAGGGAAGGGTTTAGGTCCTTTCTTGTATGAGTAGGACCATGGCAGGTAGAGCATGGCCAGCAGCTGGCGGTCCCAGGCATATACAATGAGGTGATTATAGCAGAGTTCTGTGGAAAGGCGGAAGAGTAAACTTGGGGTGGGTTCAGGCAACTGTGGATATGACTGAGGATGATGTTATCAGTCGCTGCATGGGGACAGAATTTCAAACAGTGATAAGCTGTGAAATCTTATGATTGGTGGCCAGGTGCTTAGGGTGTTAGAGGTTAGGCTTGAGTCATCATTTAGAGAAAGGATACAGGGTTTGATGGTATAGAGGAGGAGTTCTGGAGAGGGGAAGAGCCAAAGGAGTCGACATCCAAATGATGTAATCTAATCTAAATTACCAGTTAATTCAACAAGCTGGCCAACTTCATGAAGGTTGTAGGGGCTGGTGCCCAAGACACCAGGGTTACCTGAAGCATTTCCTTCTGGACTAACTCAGCCAGGCTGACCCCACACCACAAAAGCTGGAGGTGTCCACTCTGTTGTGAGGGAACTGCTTCATCGAAAACAAAATCCTGAATGCAAATATGCACAATTCCTTAAAAAGAAAAATACAGTGTTAGCCAGCAATTCCAGCACCAGCTGCACACTCATGGAAAATGGAAATAGTTCTACCAGTACTTGTGTAAAAATGTTCTTAGAAACAATATTCACACTTTTCAGCCTGTGGAATCAGCTGAATATCCAATAATGTCTGAATAGAGGAACAAAATATACCATAGGCATCCATTAGAATTGAGAGGAATCAGTGACATATGCTACAGCATGAATAAGTTTTGAAAATATTTCATTATATTAATGGCTACACAAAGTGCCACATATGCTCTGATTTATTTCCTGTGAAATGTGCACAACATTAAAATTGACAGAGATAGAAAGTAGATCAGTTGTTGCCTGTGCCTGTGAGGGAGAAAGGGGAGTGAATGTGAGAACATGCATGATTTCTGGGGGCATGAAGTGATAAAGATGTTCTGAAATTGTAGAATGTTAATGCTTTCAGAATTCTGTGAATGTGCGAAAAACACTGAATATTATCTTTCAAAGACTGACAATGATGGTGAATATATGATAAGTCTGCTTTATATGATAAAGCATATAAAGCAGACTCTGCTTATATGATAAGACAAAAGAAACAGCTTGAAACAGCAGGAATACACACATTTCCTATAATATGCAGTGGTTGTAACTGAACACTGCACCTATTAAGGGGCCCTTTTATGCAGTCTTGAGAAGTAGAAAACAGAGTTGGAAAAGGTAGAGTTGGAAAATAGCATGTGGAGAAAGTGGTAGAAATGTGTTTAATGAGAAATAATTGAGAGAACTTCTAACATTAAAAATAAAATATAAGCTTGTGCTGTATAACAATATAACAGAGGATCAGAGACATATCTCAGAGGCTGGGCCAGGGGTTCTGTCTAGAGCATATGTAAAAGTGAGGTCTTGTTTTTTAGGGGTTTTTAAATTTTATTTTAAGTACTAGAGATTGGTTGATCCTAGAAACACATGCTTGCTAGGCAAGCACTCTACATCTTGGCCTATGCTTAGTCTTAGTCTTTTTTTTTTTTTTTTTTTGGAGATAGGGTCTAAATAACTTTGGCCAAGATGACCTTAAACTCAAGATTCACCTGCCTCTGTCTCCTGAGTAGCTGGAATTACAGGTGTTCACCAACATACCTAGCTTAGCCATAGTAGTCATTTGATGTTTGTGAACGGAAAAAAAAAAAACACACACACACAGCAGAGAGAGCAAACAAACCCTGTTTGTAGGATTGCTGGATATGTGCAGTGATTCTACCATGTTCTCTCGTAACTCTAATTTGGAGAGGCTACTGGTGTTTTTTGTGTCTGTGTTTGGTTATGGGTAAAACAAAAATATTGAACATATATCACACTGATAGCTAAACAATAAACGGTGGATCATAGATGGTGGTTCATGCCTGGATTCCCACCTACTCAGTAGACAGCAGTCAGGAGGATCGCACTTTGAGGCCATTCCAAGGAAAAAGTAGTGAGATCCCCATCTCAACCAGCAAACCAGTCACGGGGCACATACCTGTGATCCCAGTATGTGGAAGGCATAGGTAGGAGAATCACAGTCTGGCATCAGCTCCAGGCAAAAAACACATGACTTTATTAAAAAAAAATAACTAAAGCAAAAAAAGGCTGGATGTGTTAGCCTAATTGGCATAGCCTTGCCTAGCAAATACAAGGCCCTGAGTTCAAATCCCAGCACCACACCCCCAAAACAAAAGGAAAGAAAAGAGAAGGAAGGAAGGAAGGAGGGAGCGAGGAAGGAAAGCTGGTTAACTCATAATGAATCCTCACAGAAGATGACGGTTACATGAAACACATCCAGAAAGGTGAGTTACACTGTATCTCCTGAACTGTACTTTCTTAGGTTTTAAAAATAAATCTAAAGTTGGAAACATTTGAATATTTGAATGTTTCTGCCTTTCAGGATTGATATGTACGCAGAAGGTTTGGTAGATTTGCTTGAAATGATCTGGAGCCCACTCCTATGTCCTCAGGAAAAAGACGCCAAGATTGCCTTGCTCAAAGACAGAACAGTGAATCGCTACTTGCCTGTCTTTGAAAATGTAAGAGAGCCTGTGCAGAGTTTGGGGCACTGGGTTCAGAGGATGAGAGGAAATCATGGCTGGGCTGTCCTAGAGCATCAACCTCACTTCCAGTGAGCCTTCCTGAGCACCAGGGCTGCACCCTGACCCTCAAAGCATTTCAGAGAAATGGACCATGGGGAAGCATTGCATAGATCAGAAAGCTATAAGAGTTCAGCAAAATTCACTTTATACATGGCAATTAGTATTCGGTATTTGACAGAGTTCACGGTTGTAACTAAATCTGGTTGTGGGAGGCTCTGAGCCACAGCAGAGGTGGACTCGATACTGCAGGACAACATGGACCTGAATTCCAGAACAAGCTGATGAACACACAGATCAGAAAATGTTCTGGCATCACGTGGAGGGTCACAGGAGAGCAGCAGCCTGTCAGGAGGATTTGTAGAGCCTCAAGAATGGATGAGAAGGAGCTGAACAAGGACAGTGGTGGGGAGATGGAGAGGGGTGGGAGAGGAAGAAATGTTAAGAAAAATGAATTTGCAGGATTTGGGGACATGGCTGTCAGACTTGAAAGGAAAGCCATGCACACTAAGAAACACAGGGCCATAGTGTTGTAGGTACTGCCTATCTTAGTATTTCTCTTTGAAGGTAAATTGAGGACATTTCCAAGCAATATGAATTTATGCTAAGTAAAAATTAAGTACCAATAAAAGACTATAGATGTTATAGGAATCTTACAAGTAAATGAGAGCATAATTAGACTCCTTTTTAAAAATATGAAGCATTGAATTCCTTCAACAAAGCTAATTTCATTCCTGACTGCTCTATGACAGAGGTGAAGATTTTAAAGCAATGAAATTCTCACATACCCCTCTGGTGTTTTTGATTTCTCCGTTGGTCAAATAATCACTTGTTATTCATTACAAAGTAAGCTGCAGACATCAGTGTCATTCACCCCAGCCACTTCAGCAGGCAGATTATGACACTGTATAAGAGCACTGTTGCAAGGGAGATGATAAATTCAAGTTCACCCATTTTTACTGGAGAACCAGAGAGATAACTGAGAAATGGGGAGAGCAGATGAGAGGAGAAATGTAGACACTAAATATTCTAATCTTGGGTGAAAAAATGTAGTCACTATGCACATGAGATGGGAGAGAAAGAGCAGAAAGGAGAGGCACTTCCTGAAATCTCAGGGATGTTTACCCTTTTAAGTTGGGTTAGGGGCAAACAAATATTGTGAAGCATGACCTCAGTCTTTGGCACTTGTGAAAGTTGCAGGTGAGTGTGGGCAGTGTCAAAACCATCAGGATGTGTGAATGACAATGAAAGGGTCACCTGACCATTAACTATGAACTTAGCAGTTTCTACTTCTCACTTTCAGTCATAAGTCAGGAGCTTGTAGAAAGATCTAGAGTTCCACATCTGCCCAGGGAGGCAAGAGAGGGAAATCAGTTGGGTCAGAGTCTCAGGAAGAGGCAGGTCCCCAGCCTGACTGTGCGTTCACAATCTGACTCCTCCAATTCTGCAGGTGTTGAAGAGCCATGGGCAAGACTACCTTGTTGGCAACAGATTGAGCAAGGCTGACATTCACCTGTTGGAAGTTCTCCTCTACATTGAAGAGCTTGACGCCAGCCTTCTGGCCACCTTCCCTCTGCTGCAGGTGATGTATTTCACAGACCTCACACAGGCAGCCCCATTTCTCCATAAATGCAATATTTAGACCTGTGGGCTGGCAAGGTCAACAATCCAACCTTTGCTAAGTCTCTAAATTGAGTTTCGGTACCCTGGATTTGAAGAATGAACATCAACTCTTTGTGCAAGTAAATCTGAGGTGGATGCTACCCTCACAAGAATATTTTGTGTTTTAGAATGAGAAGGGCCCAGCAAGTATCTCCCTGAACTACATTCTGTTATGGACTCTGTCCACATCTCCCTGGGACTTCTTTGGTTTCATGTGTCCTTGAATTTGCACAATCAGTCCATCTCAACAGTTCTCTTTCCATCTGGTTTCCTTGTCTCAACTCTCACTCCTGCTTTCAGCTTTGGAAATTTCTCTCCCTCTCACACAGTGCCCACCCTCCGAAAACCCCTACTTTAGTCTCTCACTGTGAAAATAGGTCTCCAGCTAGACGCTTGTATTTTCTAACCTGATTTCCAAATTGGCTTTTTTCATGTCATCATGTCTTTCTAGATATTTCACTCTAATGACATTTGAAAGACACAATGTTCTTGTTTTGCAACCTAAAAAATGGATCTATAAGGTTTATGTGTAAGAGTGCCGTGAAGGCTATGAACCGAATAAAGTCTTGCGAGGTTTTTAAGAAATCATGTTGAGCTGTTTTCTACCTCTTGTCTTCCTCATCACTGGTTGTCTGTTCCCAGCTCTACACTGGTGTTGATGGAGAGACTCAGCTGGTCTTTGTCAAGGAGGGGCTCAGATTCCTGGGTTATACTAATAGTTGGATTGAACATTGGGCTCTTTTCTGAGGCTGTGGTTTCTGTGTTGCAGGCCCTGAGGACCAGGATCAGTAACCTCATGAATGTGAAGAAGTTCCTGCAGCCTGGCAGCCTGAGGAAGCCTTGTGTTACTGCAAAGGAAGTAGAAGAAGAAAGGAAGATTTTCAAGTTTTAACAAAACTCATATTGACCAGACCCAAATATACCAAACTTTTGATGTTTTGCAATAATGACATGTTTCACATATGTGTTGAATCTGGCTATTATGAGATTTAAAGTTTTCCAAGTTGTATATATACCCAATGTGCTTGAAGAGTGAGTTCCAACCCCTGCATACAGAAAGAAAGCAGCAGTGACAGCAAATGCAAGCAACCAGAGTAAATAAATAAAGTATAATCCAAATAAAAAGAGCACCACCACCAACAGAAAAGAAGGGGCCAAAGTTAAAGTAAAATAAAATCAAAAGATTAAAACAGCAAAATTAATTCATAAAAGTAAGAAATAAGAAAATAAAAGGGAAAAAGAACTAGGAAGAAAAATCTAAAACTAAAAAGAAAAAAACAGGAGTAAGGTAAAAAGTGAAATTAAATTAAAACAAAAAGAAAACAAAGAAGTTAAATATTAAAACAAGAAGAAAAGAGGAAAAATCCATATTCAAGCAAAAAAGTGATTTAAAAAAAGTTTCATAGAAAATAAAACTTGCTGTCCTCTGATGTCCTTGATGACACAGCAAGAGTGGGTGCTCCTGTCCCGCACTAATCTGAGCTTCTGCACACTTGGGAGAGCACAGGTCAGGGTTACTCACCTTTTCCTTCTTCCCTTTGTGTTGCCAGCCAGGCAACCCGCACAGGTGGTGTGCAGCTGGCACCAGTTAAAGGGTCCATCAACTGCCCAGCATGCCAGACTCAGCTAGGGAGGAATTCAGAGCTCTGCACCAAAGGTCTACCCTGGAGTTATTTGCTCTGTGCACTGTAAGGACAGGGTTGACACTAGGTGCTGCAGCATGTCAGGGTCCAGCTGCCTTTTATGCTGCCCACTGCAGAGAAGAGAGATTCTATGGGTACCAGTTACTACTCTGGGTGGTGACAGCGAAGGGAGATTGCGTTGGCAGGCTCTGTGCAGTCCACTACCAATGAGCCTGGTGTTTTCTAGATTTGGCTCTGGGGAGCTATCACCTGTGACTGTTGTTCCCTGGAATCCTGCATCTGACTTCCTGAGCTTCAGTTCTTAAAGGAGAACCAAACTCTGTTCCCTCAAGCAACACAGATGGCTTCCCAGTGTATAGACATGTCAGCAGGTTTCTTTTAGTGCCTCTCCCAACAGCCAAACAGTGTCTCTGAGTCAGTGTGAGATCCCAGAGATAGAAAAGGCAGTGACCTTTGACTTCCAGGCTATAAGCTCAGACAAGAGCTTCTTAAGATGGCTCCTCCTACACACATCACATCAATTATCTGCTGGGAAGTCCAGAGAACTTCACAGCCAGTTTGCTACACAGGTCCAAGACTACTATGTACTTCTGCCATATTCTATGCCATGACATTCATGTGACCTCTCCTTGTTTCACCCCGACCCTAGCCCTCTGCCAAGAAAGATTTATTTCTCATTATTTTCAGAAGAGGTTATCAAGCTTAGAATTTAACCAACCTTCCCAAGTTTGCATACCTTCCAATAAGAAGTTGCAATTTTTCTCTAGTGTCCTTCTTCCAGCTAAGGAACAGGGCAGTGAAACCAGCTCAGACCTGTAACCCCTTTAATTTTCTACTCTGTCCACAGGGCATACTACCTTCAAAACAATCTCATTTTCTTATAGAGGTAAATATATTTTTTCTATTCATTGGTGCACTCAAGTGTTTTTAGTTGTCACACTAAAGCCAGGCACAGGTTTACAATTTTCTCTTCCCACCAAGTCCCTGAAAAGCTGCTCACAAAGATGAACTCATGACATAGACGTTCCCCTCACTCCCTCCTCTTCCAACCTTTAGGGAACTGAAGGACTCTAAGAGGAAAACATGAGACAGGTGCTCAGAGAGAAGCTCAGAGGTCAGGGAGCGTTGCAGGGTGGAGAGGAGCAGCCCTAACCTGAACGCTGAGGAATTCAAGTGACTCAAGATTCTGTATGTGAATGTGGACACCTTCTCTCTTTGAGTTTCATGTGCTCCCCTGTAACCAGGGTGAGAGGGTTGTGAGAATCAACTAAAGTTAGGTCTTTCCTGTCAAAGGAGTTAATGTAAATCTGTCATTGTGTAGAAGCCAGCTAACCTCCCCGAATTGCTGCCTACCTGCTTTGTGGAACGTTGCTTGACCTTGCAAGGTTCTTGTGGTCAAACAAAGAGCTATTTATCACCAGATGTTCTAATCTTAAACTACTTGCTTAAAGAATATTGCCCAAAAGAATTTTCTTGTTCTCCCTGCTTCAAGTCCCCCTCACCCCTTTTCTAAGTAACCAATCGCAAAGACTATGAACCCAAACCCGTCCATCAGGGTGAGGAGCAAAGAGATAAAAACTGAGCTGACTCCCCACTCAGTGTGTTCTGCTTATCAGACTATGGTCTGTGGCTGCACCCTTCTGCAGAAGTAAAACTTTTCTTTTTGCCTTGCTGAGCAACTCCCCGAGTGTTTCTTTGATCATCATTTGGGAATGGCATTTCTTAACAGGAGCAATTTCCAGAGTGATTGTACATGGGTGACTCCCTGCTAGGTCCTGACTGCGAATGAGGACCAAGCATGTGACACATGGGAAATCACCTAGTCTTTCTTTGTCTCATTTTTCTGTTGACCCTGTAAAGATTATGGCAACATTTGTCCCAGTCTAGGGCTGGCCCGAGGGAACCTCTTTTTCAGAAGCAATAGAAAGTTACTTACACGAAAGAGCACTACGCTATCTATTGCAGATATTCACTTGCCTTTGTAGCAAGATCCTGTCAGTGACTGATGGCAGTTAGTGGAGGATTTGAATCACATTGCTCTGTGAACTCTCCTCTAACAAACGCCTCAAGCATTAGGGTGAGCTTCCCTTTCACTTCCCTTCCACTGAATCATTTTACCTCCACATCTCTAAGAACGTATAATGCACAGAATCTCCAATTACAAGACACATGCTTTATGTATGTTTCTGAAAGACATTTTACTATCTTGAGCTTAGATGACTGAATCCCATACTTTAAAATGTGGATGTTTAAAAGATCATGATATCTGAAATTCAAGTAACACATACTTTTCAGAAATGCATTTATGTTCATTATTTTTGTGTGAAAGAATGCCTGACATAAGCAACTTAAAAGTAGGCAGTACTTATTTTGGCTCATGATTTTAGTCCATGGTCCTTTGTCCCATGTGCTGGGGCAGAACACCATGACAGTAGGAGCATGTGTTGAAGGAGTGCTATTTATATGTGGTAGACAGGAAGCAGAGGAAAGAGATATAGGAAATGTCAGGCAAGATATAGCCCTTACCTCTCATCACCTCCCAATGTCATCATATTGTAAATCAATGAAGAGTTTAATCCATTGATTAACTCAGAGCCTTCATGATCTAATTGTCTCTGGTAACAGCCTCCCAGGCACACAAGAGGTGTGCTTTACCATTTGCCCTTAGGTATCTATTAATCCAATCATGTTCACAATTAGTCATCACAAGTTCATCCCTTGTCAACCTGATATTCAAACACATCACTTTGACCCATGACACTTCACCCCTGTCCCCCAAAGACTTACATACATCCCACAATGCAAAATGCATTCCATCATCGCCAAGACCCCACATGGTCTTAAAAGTTCCAACTCTGTTCACAAGCCCAAGTTCAAAATCTCTTTCTCTCAAGGCAAGCCCCTGTAGTAAACATTTCCATTTCAAAAGAGAGGAAAAGGGAAATACTTAGGAATGCTTGGATCAAAGCAAGGCTGAAACCCAGTAGGGCAAACATTAGGTCCTGGAGCTCCATGTTTGGCATTCAGGACATGTGGTATGATGAACTGAGCTCCAATGGACTTGGGTAGCTCTGACCTCATTGCTTTGCTGTTTGCAGCCCACATGGCTCCTCTACTGGGCTGGCATCAAATGTTGCCTGTGGCTTTCTTCAGCAAATGTTCCATGTTCCTGGCATCTCAAGCATCCTCAGGTCTCAGCTGGTGGAGTGGCTCAAGCAGTAAGAGCACCTGCTTAGCAAGCATGAGGCCCTGAGTTCAAACCCCAGTTCTACCAAATAATAATAATAATAGTAATAATAATAATAATAATAATACAGTCAGGTCTCCATTGCAGTTTAGGCTTCACTCTCACAGCTTCATGTGTTTCCCTTTTAGAGGCAGTCAGACAGGGTCTTGACCCTGTCACACATTGCTTGTCTTCCTAGGCCTCTCTTTAAAATGTATGTGGAAGCCTGTACAACCCTGTAACTCTTGCATTCTGCTGTCTGGAAAACCAGCATCCCATGGGTGACACCAATCTCTGCCTCTAGGTCCCCCTGGGACGTGACGCACTGGACAATGAATACCTGGGTAGCTGAACCTGGGAAAACACTTATGGAAGGCTCTTTATATAAATAGGGTGCCCCAGAAGCTGTCTCTTCTGAAGAGAAAGTTTTTGAAATGAGTTTTCAATGTTATTCCCTTGAGTTTACAACAGAACTCAAGGCATACACCTTGAGCAACTATACCAGCCCTTTTTTGTGATGGATTTTTTTTGAAAACAGGGCTTCACAAACCATTTGTTTGGGCTGGCTTTGAACTGTGATCCTCCTGATCTCTGCCACCTGAGTAGCTAGGATTACAGGTTTGAACAACCAGCTCCTGACAGGCCAGTTCTTGAGATGTCCTCAAGGCCTCTTTCCTACTGTCTCAATGCAAACCATTGACTTCATTTTAATGGTGCTAATCTCTTCAAAAACCTTGCTTCTTTTGTGCTTAATTTTATTTCTTTGTGTACATTAATTGTATAAAGGAATTTCACTGTGATATGTCCATACATCCATGTACCCCACATTACTCTTCCTTATCAGCCTTCTCCTCCCACCTTTCTCTAACAGTGGTGGTGTGTTTCATCATGCTTTTTTCATACATTCATACTATGTGTTTCAATCATGTTCACCCCATCACCCTCTCATTTTCCCATCTTGGCTGATTTCCGCCCCCAAAAAACCAAAAAACCTCACCTTTTATATTCATGCCTTCTCCTCCT